ATTAATTCATCTGCTGAATTATCAATCATGAATCGATTCAATATTAAAGTGTTTTTTACATAAAACTTTACCTACTAAACCGTACAATATGTTAACCAAAGCAGCTACTGGATAAAACACTCCTTCGCAGCTGCGATAATCAATATTTTTACATAGACAAAGCATCACGTGATTACTTGCATTTAGCAGCTAAAGAGCCAGATAGATAGAGTTGTTGAAGAGCAAAAAGAGAGTAAATACTGGTGGCCATAAGCATCACTCCAAATTAATTGTATACATGTTGGATGTATAAAAAGGCAATTATTTGCTAACAAGTTTGCTTAATCAACTTAAAAGGTGACAATATGTCATTGTAGTAACCACCGATGGTTTCTGCTGCCCCCTAGTGGCCATAAAAGTCAGTTATTGCAGGTTTAAAGCTGAAATCTGCACATTTCCACATTTCCCCATCTGTTTTTTTGTGTGTATCAGCTGGTTGTTGTTGGTACTCAATGAAGATGTGATAAATCTGAATATATATTAATATAGTTAGTTACCAGTTGTACTGTCAACTAAACACGTGTTACTGGTGTTTCAGCACACTCTACCACACTGACACATATAATTACTCTAAATTAATTGAAAACCACGGGGGTCCTGATGGCGCTAATTGTCAGTTTATCCCAGATTCTGGTCCCTCATAAACACCTTCCAGTACAATTGTCTGTTCTCACTGTGCTATTCTCATATTAATATTATTTCACTGTTTCTAGGCTACACAATGCAAAAAGGGGGGGAAATGGCTTCCTTATTCCTTGGTGTTGTCCTTGGAATTATGCTAAACCGTTGGTCATCATGCAGGAAGGATTTCTGTCATTTTGTCCTAACTACTGAATAAGACAGGCTGTCCAGGAAATACAGTCTCCATCTCAGCATAAGCTACAAATCAAAGACTTCTGTCAGAGAGGACTTAGCCTTCTTCTGAGCCTGCCTTCACAAGTGATTTTTTTTTCTATCCTTGCCTTCATGCATTGATAGCTGTGGTATCAAAAGTTGCTGGCTAATGTATTGTGAATATACATGTGCCTGCTCATGATATCACCAAGCTAGTTTCTGCTCATATTCTTTCAGAGGGCCTCCTGAGACTGTGTTCTATCTCCAGTCCTTAAATAGCTCCATCTAGATAGTGTATCTCAATCAGTCGGCCACAATTCTAAAGTGGGTCACGGGGCTGGTCTTACAAACCTGCCCAAATATATCCAGAGCACTGTGGTCATAATTGATATCAGCTTTTTAAAGACTTTTGCAGTGTTTTCAGGTAATTATGATAAAAGTCTGTTTTTTATGAATGAGTTTTGATTTCAGACACAAGATAAACCGAATGACTTGGGAGAGTCTTACTGATGCTAGTTTAAAAATAGTTGAAATGTAATATCTCATTAAATTAATCTGTACAAAAATAAAGCTGGGTTTTGTGCATAACAATTCCTTGGCTGGGAGCAGTGACTAGCTAGCAGGCTACATATTGAACAGACAGATATGAGAATGGTATCAATCCTCTTATCTAACTCTCGACAAGAAAGTGAAGCGCATTTTCCAAAATGTCAAATATGTCAACATATTCCTTTTAAGGATAATTTTATTTCATGAACTAAAAAATAAGAAATATCATTATTACGGCCACATCATTCAGATATTTTCGATACCAGTACCAGTGGCAATACTTGGACTTCGGTACCGGTTCCTGGACAATACTTTTTGCGATATCAATTTTATAAAATCCATTTTAACAAAAAAGAAAATTCAAAACACATTAAGTTACAATTACTCACTAATAAGGAAGCTGTTTAGACAGACTGCTGCATGCTTATTGGCACACTAATGCTGATGAAATTTACTGGAAATCTGGTAGCAAATGACAAGCCAATTTTTCTATATTTCGAAAAATCTAAGTAATTTAGTTGGTGTCATAAAAGTATTGTAAGTAAGTTTGGTACCCAGCCCTAAATATGACTGAACTTTACTTCGCCTCTGAGTTGTTTTTCCCCAGGAAAAGCTGCTGACCAAAGTGCTGGATTTTATATCTGCTCAGTTATGCAGTCGTGGCTGGTTTTCAGTGTGTCATATAAGGTATTTAAGCAGCCAACCAACCAACACTCTTTAACTCTATGCACTGATCTAAACCACAGTGTTAAATATACTCTTCCTCTGTTATTTACATAACTGCTTTTCGACATGCACTTTGAAATGTTGCTCGTGTGACATAAGGTCAACGGAAATGAGGACCTAACAAATGCACTCTGTTTTTCATATTGCCCTCAGTTGTAAGTTAACAGTAAAGTGGTAACCTTTTGGCCATGTGGACGTCATTTTGACGGCAGCATCACGCCAATAACAGCCAAATGCTGGGGCAGTTCTAAGGCCTCCACCAAATGTTACAGCAGAGAGGTCCACAGGGGAAAAGTGCCATGTGAAAATTGGATGGTGACTTAATTAAAAGGAAAAAAGCCTGTGCTACTTCTATTAACAAGGATGTGTTTTAAATGAAGAAATTCAACATTTAAGGGAGGGGGGGGAACAGCAAAAGAATGCAACATGAAATAAGGAACCAGGTATTTCAGGTACAGAGGACTTCAAAAACATTTAAATGGATGTCTGCATGGAAAAAAATAGAAATGATTCAAGCTGTCCTCAGTGACGCAGTTTCAAACCCATTTCTCTGTTTTTATTTTCTATAGAAGGTGTTTTTCTCTTAAAGCCCTGGAGGACAGTGCTGTCCATTCCTGAGGAGCAGTGATCTCATTTTGCAATGACATTACAGTACTTTCATGGAGCGAAACGATGTGAATTCTTTCATTAAGGTCTTTTCTCCTAGGCCCCCAATTAACAGCGCCTTCTGAACAAAATGAGACTGTCCATGGAGGTCCCCTCCAGGAAACAAAGAGCAGTTTAGACCCAATTAAGCTCAGGGTTTGTTGGTGGCCCAGGGTCTTTGCTCTGACTACAATACTGAGACAGTGCGAGAAGATCTTTAGAGGTCTAGAAAATGGAAAAATAAGAGTTCCAGGCAAGTCTGAAAAACTTTACTGGTAACATGTGTGGTTCAAATGGCCCTAAAAATCAAAGAGGCAATAAAAGAGGTTAAAAAAGCAATTTAGCTATTGCTTGAAAGGGAGTAACATGCAGTCTAGCTTCCTATACGACAAGTGACATGTTGACTAAGGTCTTCTAAGGCAGGCTTTAAAATGTGGGTGTTCAACGTATGAGCCATGTCAACTGTTAACAAATTTCAATAGGTTTCCTTGAGAGGCTCGGTGAAGCACAGCAGCCTCTGCATCCCAGTGGGTTTTTGAGCAAAGCTAATGTTTGGCGATCTCCTCTGCACAAGGCTGACTCATCAAATCAAGGCATTAAGACCAGCGGGGAGGAAAATTTCACTAAGACAATAACAGTGCCTTAAGGCAGAAACTGTTTGTTTTAAAGCAAGATTTCTCAGCTGTAGACCGAAACTGCAGGTGATTGCAGGCTATCCAAGTCTATCTTCAAGGTGGTAATTTATATGGATTTTGAAGAACCTCACAGCACTGGATTGCCAAGTGCAAGGAGATTACTTCAAAGGCAGAGGGAAGCATTTATAGCTTGAAGATGAACAGAGAATGCCGCTTGTGGTTTTAAAATCAGTCACGCATGTTTAAGTCCTACCGAATTTAATGAAATGTCGAATTTAGAATCCTGATTGGCTTTACAGCAGCTGGTGCTCCTTATAGAAACCTTTTCTTACCAGTAAAAGTCACCTAAAAAAACATACTTAGGACCTTAACATTCATCCACAGGTCAGACATTCCCAACATGAATGAAAGACATTATATCTTTGCAAAAATAAACTGTCATTCTCTTTTCACCTGCAAAGAATTTAACAAATCTGCCTACACTAACTCCCCTTTGATAACGCCCTTTCTTTTCTTACCAAACAGAGGAGTGCAAGAGTGGGACTGTGGGGCTTAATAGTTTCCAGAAGTTGTTCCAGACTGTGAAGGGAGGTGTGTGTGTGTGTGTGTGTGTGTGTGTGTGTGTGTGTGTGTGTGTGTGTAGGGGGAGCTGTTTTGAACTGTTCACTATCTGCCTACAGATCATAATATGACTGTTGGCATTCAAGGGTCCTGGCCCAGGTGATAAACTCAGCCATCATAACTGATACATGGACATGCCTGTTGATGGCAGCACTACAACATCTGAGCTTACAGATGAGGGAAACTAACTGTGATAATTACATGTAATAAACACAGGGTCTATTGTTCTCATAAAGCATCTCTCAGGCAGAGAAAAACCCCAGACACACTTGAAATTCCTCATCGGAGTAATAAAAATATGACAGGGTTGTTTGATTGAGGAATAGCAAGGCTTCTGTCATCACCTCAGCGCATCGCTCAGGAAAATCTGTTGAACGTGAACTGACTGAAGACCAGACACATTAGATACACTACAGCTCCGCAGGAGGCTCTAAAAGCTGACATTTTTTTAAGACATGACACCAATCACAGATTCGCCTCTTTGTCACTGGAGCAATTGAAACTAATGAATCTGACTGCTGCTTTCTGCTTCTTCTTTTTTTAATGATCGATCTGTAAACAAGTGATTTATAAGCAGGTACTGGGGCCTTTGCATCAGTGGATGTCAGTGTAAATGTGAGAGAGCGCCTGTATCCAGAGGGGGGTGTGGTGGTGGTGGGGGGGGGGATGTGCGATCACTGCTGTGACATGGCAATATTAACATGTGGCACTGGGAGACAGAAACAAAAGACCGCTTTAATTGTCTCGCCTCGGTTTCATCCCCTCCACGTTGCCTTCACTCAATCGAGCAGTCGTTCCCTTCAGGGCACAGTACACACACTACTCTTCTCGCACACAGACACACAACACACTAAATCCTGTGATAATCAGCGTGCACACACTTCTATAGTTTTTTTTTTCTAAGCATTTTTAATACAAGACTCTGGTTATCCTGGATTCAGCACTGCTTACCATCAATAGCTCTTCCCGGAGCGATTACTTCCAAACTGTGCAACAATCCCAAGAAAAGCAATCCTGTTGCCAGCATGTTGGCCGTGGTGCGCAACATTGTAGCCTATCTTGAGAGATTATTAGTCATCAATTGCCTCTTGGTCCTGTCAAGCTGGAGGTTGCAGACCGGCGACGACGTGTAACCGTGCCCAGGCGGTGATGCTCCTCACTGGAAATCCGCTTTCTGGGTGCGCAATGAAGCTGACAAGGATGCTGCTGTCTGCCCACTCGGATCGGAGGGCAGTTTTTGAAGTCTGTCAAAGCAAAAGGAAAAAAAAAAATAAAAAAAAATAGAGAAACAGAGCCGAGGCTTCTCCCAGCCCGGGGTTGCTTAGGGGCTCCTTGGATGCATGGACAGCCCTGCCACAAAGGCTAGCAGGCTGAACTGAGCATCAAGCTAACCTGGCTTGCAGTCGAGATGAAGGAGAGCCGGCGCCTCTAATCATGCAGTTGTCCGCCCTTTGTTCTGCCTGCCCCGGTGAAGAAGCAACCGCAGGAGGAAATAAAGAAGTGGATCAAATGTTCCTCTCCTCCCCACCACCTCTGCTGCTGCTGGCCACAGATTGAGCCTGAAGCCCGGAGCTCAGCAGCGGTCTGACGTCGCAGCAGCAGCTCGGCTGGCCCTCCCCTCTCTCTCTCTCTCTCTCTCTCTCTCTCTCTCTCTCTCTCTCTCTCTCTCTCTCTCTCTCTCTCTCTTTCTCTCTCTCCAGCACCCGACACCCCACCATCCACCTCCATCAAATCACACCAAACATAACAGTTACTGCAACAATGCTCTGGATTCCGCCTCAGTCCCAGTTTGAATTATTTATTTAGTTTGCCAAGTGGATTTTCTTTTATGTTTTTCTTTCCTATTTCTCATTATTGTCTGTTCGTTTAAGTTGCAAGGGCTTTTCAGCAAGGACTGATGATGATGATGATTGATCGTTTAAAAGGGTTAAATGAGCATCAAATAATATATAATGAAGCAGATTTTTGTTCAGAATTCTTTATTTTTGGTCAATATCTGGAATCACATCCATATTGCATCAACATGTTTCCACTTCTGTATTAACTGTCTATAGCCCCAAATTAATAAATAACTTCTGTTAGAAGTTTAGTATGTTGAACCTGTTGAGACTCGCAAATGATTATAGAGGAACTGAGCAATTGTAATCAGTGTGTAATGACACAAGAGAGGGGGGAATAATTTACAAATGAAAATGTACAAATTAAAGGAAAATCAGGTAATCAAATTATAAAACACTGGTCAGTAAATAGAATTCGAAAGATAATTAAAGGTAATCACTTTTGAGAGTTGTGAATAAAAAAATCTAAACAAACGAAGAAAAAATTAAACATGTATTAATTTATACAGTGAAATCTTTTAATCACTTTATTGCTCCCCAAAGGAGAAATTCCCCAAATTAATTTGAACTTATTAATATAGAGAAATTATTTCCTGCATTTGAAAGTAATTTAACAACACTGTTTTAAAATGAAAAGTAAATGATACATACTTTATTCAATGTGCATTTTGTTGAGTCTAACCACCTGGACATCAGGTTACCTTTCCATGTGGTGATAATATTGTAGGTAGCTGTGGATCCATTTAACTGAAATTACTTATGGATTCTTCATAGGGCACGATAATGTGAAGCAGCAATCTGGACTGATTAGGCTTCAGTGACTGTCTCCTTCCAAGATGCAATGAGCAAGAGGTTCACACAGTCCTTCCCAGATCCCACCGCATCCATGCAGATGTTGTGAGCAACCTGTTTGGGTTGCCATTGCAGCAACAACCACACGGTCCCTCACTGGCTTCCCACCCATGAACACTGCAAATAGTGTGTTTTAGAATAATTTATATTTGCACATATTATTTTATCTTTTGTTTTACATAAGTTATTTGCTTTATATATTGCATTTTGATATTTGATTATCTCACATGCAGCCAGCAAAATATTTTCAGTACATAATGTTGAGTATGTGACAAATAAAAACTTGGAACTTGAAACAGAGATACTGTAAACTGAACACCAGGTGGTGCCATCCATGGATGTATGTCCCACCCACAGCATTGAGCAACCACTGCCCAGGATCGTAAAAGGTAGCAGGAAAGTCCCATGGTTTGTTACACAGACCCATCTGGAAAATTGTCCCTAGAAACTGTTTGGAAAAGGGCAGGTACTAAAATACTTGGCAGGGATGAACCACCTGCCAATCACTATCATAGGCTAAGTTCAATCAGTCAGATCAATAAGCCAATAAGCTAGTCGGGAGAATAGAGAAAACGTATTTTCCGTCGTAAAAAAAAAACCTTCAGTGCTGTTCTTTGCTCTTCTTTCAATCCAGTTTCCAGTATCCAGTTCTGACTTCACTGATTAACATCTACACTAACCCCTTTCAGAGCTGTTACTTATCGCTGCATCAGTAGTTACTAGTAGTTCCTCAAAGTTTGAAGCCTGGAAAGTTGGATCTTGTGATGATCTGGCAAATCCAGCTGCCTTGCAAGTTAAAGGCACATTAATCCTCATAATTCTTCTGTGCCTAGTGCTCAATTTAATATTAAAGACCCTCACACCTTCCTCAGTTTCTTTAGCAATGACAGGGCAGTATCTGGCTCCTAGACAACCAAACTTTACTTACTGACCATTTGGCAGAAATATCCTAATTTTGTTTTTAATGGATTGTCTCTCTACTGCTATGCTGATGACAGCTAACTGTACATATAAACAAGTAATGACTCATATCATATATCCTTACCTAATTTGAGAGCAATGGGGAACAGTAACTTCTAGCTGAACAGCTAAAGACTGTGGCTCTCAAGTTTGTACAACAAATAGGTCGAACATTGCGTCCCATAACCCTGATATCTTTCTCTGAACAGCTCTTCAAGTTCAAATCTTGACATAAGGTTTAACCTCTTAGCCTTTGTGAACCACATTAAAAAAACTCCCTGAATTTCACAAACAGATCAACTTCTCCACATACTACTACTACCACTGCTACGGTGCAGTGTTAACATTCCTGGCAGGAGTCTCCAGACACTCTTAATGATATTTTGGATTCACCATCACTTAACCTCCATTCTATACCAAACGGTTTGTTGCTGCAGGGTACAGGTAAACATGAAAGTCCTGTGCAGTGAATGATGACATGCAATAAAGTCACTGGTGTGCAAAGAGTAGAACATGGTTAACTTAAGGCAATTCTTGAATGATTTTATGAACACAAATTTGTCCACAGATGCATTTTATTTCATTGAAGAGCACCTTGGGAAGATTACAATATTCTACCAATGAAGAGTGTCTAACCTTTTGTGATGGATTTTTACAAGACACAGCATTATGTGCAGTAGAGAATATGAAGTTATAGTTGTAAAAAATTTAATCTTAGAACGGTTTTATACATTTAATTGTTTTAATTATAGTTTTATATATCACAATTTTAAAGTGAAATACCATCTAAGTATAAGTGGGGATGAAACCACAAATCTTAGAGTAAAACATTGCTGGATCTGCAGAGACCAAATTGGATCCTTCCAAACATTTGTTTACACTTAAGGCCAAAGTATGTGCCAAAGTAAAGTAAAGTGTATTGCTCTAGACTATCTAGAGCAATACAATCCCTTATAACTTTATAATGAAAACCATGACAAACAGCTTGTAAAAAAAAGGGCCAAGGCCAAATACTTCTAGAGTACTCATTACAAACAGCAGAGACTTATCCTTGTGTCGACTCAGTTATTGTGACATGTTATATAACAAGACTGTGCCATAAGCATAAACAAGCCATCTGAAAGAAGACTGTTTTAAATCATACTGGAGCTGGAGGAAGTGCAGATATGCCCAGTGTATTGTTTTGTGTTTAGTCACGTCCCAGTTCCTAGCCTTGAGTCCTAAAGATGGGGTTTTCACAAGATAAAATGTTCTTTCAAAATCCAAACACTAACAAAGTAATGGGAGTATATTTAAATCAACATAAGATTATGTTTAAATGCTTAATTACATTTGTTTATTTTTCCAAACAGACATCTATTGCAATACTTTTGAAAGAGACACAGGAAACTGCAATTATACAGGAAATGAGATTTGGACTGTTTTCAAAGTTAAACAAAGCAAATGCCAGTCAACAATAAAAAGCATATAGTGTTAACATAAGCAGGCATTTATCTATTCCTCATAAAATACAAATTATGCAAGCTCACGTCAACCCACCACTTTTTTCCCACTCTTTCCCTCTCCATGAACAGGACAAAGATACCTCAAACAATCCTATCGTTGAATTACAACAATTCACTCAAACGCACATCTAGTGCATTTAAATGACCTTCAGCCTTTAAACGCTGGCCTAAACATCTGCTTTGAATATTTTGCTGATCTCTGTTCTGGGCTTTGGGAGAGTAACAAGTCATTTGCGGCCCAGGTCCAAGTGAGGTCATGAGTTAATGGTGTCAAAGTTGAGTTAGGAGACTTTGTAATGCAAGTTTGAATTGAATCGGTCAGGTGACTTAATTTCCACACCTTCGGTAAACAACAGATATGTGTTCACGTCTCCTTATTTTCCTGGTAAGTTTTAACAAACATTTGTAATTTCACAGCTGCAGTTCCAGTCATTTTTAATATGTTCAAGATAGCACAAATTAAATAATTTTTAAGTTAATTCTATACCAGATAATCCTGCACAGACAGGGACACATCGACGCAGTTTTGCATTTCTCTTATTTATTTATTTGTGTGTGTGAGTGTTTATACCAGGTGGTTTACTGTAACAGTGACCACCACAGCCACCTAGACCTGTCTGCGAAATGCTGCACAGTGCTGACATCTGGTGGGTCTACACTGCCAGTATTACATTTCAGAGAACAATAGGTCCTTTGTGTTAGAGCTTTTTTTACAGGCATAAAATACTGAGAAAAATGAACACGTAATGAGTTGTGATCACAGACAATATCCAGTAAAACGCTTTACAGAGCTGTTTAAAGAAAGTATTATCTCAACAATCTTTTATTGATTTTTGAGGCCTTGCCACTATTTTATTTATTGAGCTCACACTTTCCTGGCAGTTTGAGGAGAAACTGCTCTTTTGATAAAATGGCTGACAAGCTGCCACTAAACATGCTTTGTTTTGAGTGAATTCAGTCCGGACTGTTAGTTATTTCCCCCCTTCAGTCTTCATCCTTTAATCTTTTTATTTGCTATTTGTGTCTTAATTTAATTTTAGTGTGACTTACACACAGCACTGATTCTTAACCAATCAAATGTGGAGCTCCAGTCCAAATGTCCACATACCAAAGGCTTTTGCGCAATCCTGACTTAACTAAAAACAGACATTCAGTGGAAGAAAAGGGAAAGAGACAACTACAAAGACTTTAAAAATAAATTCACAAAAGGAACACAGTAGTCGTCTTGAACTTCTCAGACATCATCAAACACACGCACGCACACACACAAACCACAGGCATGCACATGTATGATGCACATAGATGTGTTTAACATAATTCTGTGGCCAGTTTGCCCCAAGGTGGCACTGTTTTCCTGATTTCTGTGGAATTTGCAAAAATTGTCTAAAAACATTATTGTTTTGTTTTTCTGTA